TTCTGGGAGTTGAAGTCCACTCATCTTAAAGTGGCCGAATTTGGACAACACTGAGCTAGCTGGAAAGTTCTTTGTGATGCTTATTCCACAAAATACTCCTTTCTGCCACTCTCCCACCTTGGTTAGTCTTCTTGAGGGTTAACAGAGCACTAGGGTACAACCATCTGCTACTTGTGTTTTCTGATTATTTATTCTAAAAAATTTTTTTCTAGTGTGTTATTCTTGGAAATAAAAGTTTATGTTATGCCTTGCAGCATGCCAACTTCCTTGTTTTAATGAAAAGACATGTACGTGGGTGTATAAATTCAAGTGGGGGCCGAAGCTTGGGGGACACCAAATAAGGTGTTCTCAGTGCCACATTGCTGCTCATGGAGATTATGCTGATGATCCTAAATATAATACTTTCCATGTGAAAAAAAAAGGCAAAAACAGGAAGCTGGCACACAAGTAGCAGCTGATCACTAGGAGGAGTGGGTAATGTGCCAGCTGCTGTTGTGTAGGTCAGCTTGCTTACTTACAGATCTTGACTGACAGTTATAAAAGGAAAAGGAAATAATATAGGGAAATATTTTGTAAGAACAAAGGGGCTTTAAAAATATTTAACAGGCAGAAGGCTGTCACTTGTAGATTAAAAAAAACTAAAGTTCAGCTGTAAAAGTAGAAGCAGTGTAAACCAGCAGTGTATCTCATTTGCTGCCTAACAGTGCCACGTTTTTGTAGTCGAGAAAAAGGACACACGTTATCTGCTGTTTCCTCCTGGAAAGTATTGGCTACAAAATGCATGTTAATAATGTTTGTTCTGTTCTCATTCTTAAACTCTAGCTTTGATCCAACCTCGGTTTATTGCTTCTTGACTGTGTTCAGCCCTTTCCTGATGGGCGGCTTGCTATTATGGAAGGTCAGTAATTGCCTCTTTAGGAAACACTGTTGTTAGACTAGACAGGCCAGCAGTTTTCAACCGCTGTGCAGCACAGATATGCGTGCTGCCAAAGGTCCACAGGTGTGCCACATCAGCGAGCCACAGTAAATGATAGGAAGTGCCGCCCAGCTGTGTAGCCAAAACCCCACCTCCGTGACATCGCCAAGGGCAGACCGGCTCCCTTTCTTCTCCTGAGTCTCAGAAACCTGTGATGTCACAGGACTTCCAGTTTCGTGACCTGGAAGTCCTACCTATGAGATGTGTGTGGTGAGATGAAAACCCCTGGGATAGATTGCAGTTCTGGGCATGCTCACTTGTCAGTACACCTTATTAAAGTCAGTGGGGTTCACTTTCTAATAAATATAGATAGGATTGTGCTGTATATGGTTTTTGTATTACATTTTCAAATTTAAAATACTAGGCTTTTAGTGTGGCTCTGTTTTAACATTGTCTGATTTTCACATACATGGTCTTCACTTTATGACCACTTATGGCCAAAGGGTGAACTGAATAAATCCCAAAAACCTGATCCTCCTCTTCTCCAGACTTGATGTCGCCAGGGAACGTGGGGCTTTGGCAGAGGCATCTGCAAGGGACCTGCAATTTGGCAGTCGTGGCAATGCAATCCAAACCCACCCCTTTTTGTAGACGCTTGACACTTGTACAAAAGGAGCAGGGCTTGGAGCCCAGCACTGCGCCCGTCATCTTGCAAGTTTTGACTTCTCCTGTGGATTCCTGCAATCTTTGGGCAGGGGAAGCCACATTGCTAAAACTCTGATCTCTGGCAGATAGTCATTTCCTTCTGCGTTCCTTCTTCACAGAGAAAGGAGCAATTCTCTGTCAGGAGGAGGCAGGGAGTGATGTCTCTCTGCCTTCTCCTGCATTTATGATGATGATCTGTTCAGATCTGCACTTCAAACTAAATAAAACAAATGCTACTAAAGAAATACACAATACTTCATACCAATCTGTATTTACTACTATTACTTGTTGTGGTAATTCACAAGAAAATCTTTAAAAAACACGAATCCTGTTAAGAAAGACTTTTGAGGGGATTTATACCAAAATAGTGGACTTGAAGCTGTGCTACATTAATGTCAAAAGCTTCAAATTTTTCTCTACCTCTTCAGGAAACTTACCATAGTTTCCAGAGTAAATAAGATGGGACCATCCTTTATTTTGCCTGAGAAAAGGAGAACAAATTGCATGGAACTCAGGAATACAGTGTTTTAAATCTTATAGCAGAAGGATGAGGTTGAATATGCCACAAGCCACACCTCCAAAACTGTATGGAACAAGAGCATTGTGTCATTTCAGAGCTGAGATCGCTGTGTTGTACTTGCACTAGAATCTGAATTTGAAAGATTACAACTGGGACAGCAGGAAAAAAAAGCACATACAAATTAGGAATACAGCATTTTGCAAAAATATGGTCTAGACCAGTGTTTTTCAAATTTGGCAACTTTAAGATGTGTGGATTTCAACTCCCAGAATTCCATGCTGACTGGGGAATTCTGGGAGTTGAAGTCCACACATCTTAAAGTTGCCAAGTTTGAAAAAGACTGGTCTAGATATTTACGAATAAACAAGTGAGTGAATGGTATCAATATAATAGAAAACGGACATGGTCAATCCTAAATTGTGTTCTGGGTATTTGTTGTAGCAGAAACTACCAAAGTTTGAAATGAAAATAGCACTAGTGGCTGTTCTGGGACAAGGGAGTGCGTTTACCAGTAATGATTTTCCATACCAGTAAGTTGCCCGGTTTATGCTTCAGAGATCTCAGCATTTATATGGAAAATGTTCCTTGAAAGTAGATATTTTTTTTAAAAGATGTCATTTTGTAGTGTGTATTTTAATAATCTTTTAAAAAGGTGTAACATAAAGTACAAGCCCATATTTGCCATGACTGAAAACAATGTTTATGTTAAATGAAATCCCTGAACTGTTTAAAAAGAATGTATTGCACTCTCTGCATTCAACCTGTTGAACTTTGGGATGTGCATAAATGGCTTTCTAAATATTAGCAATGTTAATTTGGCATCCTTTTTTATTTTGTAAGAGCCTGCCATTAGCTTAACAGAATTGTGTTTATTGAACAGATTGCAATCCCCTTTGTTCTCGTGTCATGTGCTTTTGAAGCTATTCAAGTCACAACCCAGTTATCGTCTAAAAGGTAAAGTTTTTCAATAAATGCTTTTACTGAATCAGGAGTTGCTTTGGGGTTGATCATGGGGAACAAATTAAACTTTGTGCTGCTACTACTTTGTACATTCCAGCATTAGATACAATTCCCAGTTTTTTTCCCCTACAGAAAGGGTTCAGTTTTTACCAGATTTCTCTCTTTGTGTGTGCCAATGGATATGTATAGTACAAGATTGCCTTTGGCATAATAGTGACTACATTTTTACAAGTATTAATTTTCCATGGTTGCTGTATTCTAGAAACTGCTTTAAGATTGCAATCTCTCTGTATAATGAACAGGGATTGATATATTTTTAGTTCCACTCAAATGCTGAAAATTCACACATAACAGATTATTGGATGAAACGCTTTTTGTGATCAGGGTTTTTGAAAAAAATCATGAGTGTTTGAATGCAAAGAAGCATGCCCTTCCCTCTTCTGCACTGATGAAGTAAGGTATTATGCAGGCATTTCATACAGAGGACAATAGCTGAATATCACTGTCCAGTTAATAGGATTCTTCTCTTTTCTCCCCTCCAGAGAGAGAGGAGTAGATTGGATGATTGAGGAAAGTTTGGCATATGTATACCTCCATGTGGAGAGATTGCATCAATGATTTAAGTTATGTCTTAAAGAGAAATGCAGATCAGCTCTCCCTCTGCGCAATGGCTGTTACTGCTGAGTAGGTAAATATTTGAACCTAGTTGTAAAACCAGTACTTACTGTGTCCCAAATCAAGAAATCTCAGCGCCATTATTAGTGCTGTCAATACAAATTGATTTTGATCTTGATGCAAATCTATCAAATCTATGCAAAGGAGAGGCATAGATCAACACTGCCTGTTTTGACAGTGTTTGGTGATTTGATGGTATCCAACTGAGTTATCTGTTTTGCAAAGAAAAATAAGCTTGTAAGCAAATTTGCATGAACTGTTTTTTGTCCTGTTTTAATGGCATTCTAAGGTAAAGTTAATTTACAAAACTGATCTTGATAATATGACTGGATATAATTTGTTAGAGGCCATTGTGATAATCTTGCTTTAATGCCATAATATAGCACATTTTAATGAGATTTCACACTCTAACTGATAGCACTTTTTATAATTCTTACAAATTAAATTATTATACTTAATGACCCATCTCTTTTTCCAGCTACTAGGTCAGCTGTATGTAGCGTTTTAGCACATTTCTGTGGTAAAACCAGTCATTAGTGATTTAGAACAGTACTGTATCCACATTGCCAAATATTTCAATTACTTAATGAAAAAATAATGATAATGCAGAGGTCTTTAGTGGTATTTGAGTTTACTTGCTCCTGGTCTTTTTTTTTTCCCATTAAAATGGGCTTTCCCAAACAAAAGTGGTCTTGGGTACCTCAGACATAAGTAACTAGTTTCTTAGGCCTTAAGGCTACATGGAAATCAATACTCAACCATTAATGAACCTGGTGGACATCATTTTAGGCCTTTATGACAGAGACACAGCAACAAATACTAGTAAAAGTTCTGGTGCAACCCAAATAGCTTTACTACTCCTTTATTCTATAAAAAACTCTGTTTTGGTGTTCATCTAAACAAGGAATAGCCTGAATCACTTAGGGAGCAAGGGTACGCATGCAACTCCTGTCCCAGGGATGCACCAACTCAGATTTGTGCATTGTCTGAAAAGTATTTTCCAAACAACTTCAACTAAACACCTCTCTGTATCTGTATGCCTTGTACATACAGCAATTATGTGTTTTTAACAAACTTGCATTTGACTTTATGCCTGAACAGGGGTAAAGGCTGAAAGGATGCTACAGAAAAAGGTTTATTTAAGTAAGGAGTTGTCAAAGCTTAGGCCTAGAAATTGTAGTTAGAGGTTCTCCTTTCCTGATGTAGGTTGAACTAAAATAGTCAGCTCCCAGCTGTAATAGTTGTGAAAATTATGCAGAATAATAAATATTGCTATAAAATAAGCATTGCTATGAATAATCATGATGTTTGGTTAACTCATTATTTAGATTTGTATGTATCATTTTTCAAGGAATTCAGCTGCACATAGAACTCATGCTAATCTACCCACAATCCAAGTGAATGTCCTCAAATCATTCAATGAATTTCATGGTTGAATGGATTTGAACCAAATCCCCATTTTGAAAACCATTCTGTTGTTTGTTTTCTGTATTTTATTTATTTATTTATTTATGTAATTTCTATAGCCGCCCATCTCAGTCCAAGTGACCCTGGGTGGTGAACAATTTCAATAATTAAAATCATTAAAACCATTATAAATTATACATACAGGCAGCCAACAATCATCATAAAAATTACATAAAAATCAGCAGTGTATCCAGGTAATGGGGCCCTTAACACTATTGCCAACTAAGCATAACCTCCTTTCACCTCTGTTTTCCTAGAACTATATAGTGTGGCTTCCTGACAGGCTTGAGATCACATTTATAGTAGCAACAGACATTCTGTGCTTCTAAGCTATACTCAGTTCTACATTTGACAGTCAAAGTTGTGTAAAAGTGCAAAGGGGCAGTGAACCCAGCATCCTGAGAAACAGCTCTCTCTTATAAAGCAAATTTCTAGTCTGTAAGGCTGAGGAGATAATGTTAAGTAAACATGATAAACTGGTTATAACTCTGGATTAGGACTAAGGAAACACGGCTGTCAAGGGTATTAAATGGAACAAGAGAAGGAGAAGAGACAGGTATACTTCTTTGTGTTCCTTATGACAATATAAATGTCATAAATCTTCAAAATCTGGGCAGTCCTATGTGAAACTTTGGAAGCTTGAATTGTACAGTTAAGTAGGGTTCCATCAATCAAGAGAATGTCAGGTCCCTGGAAAATTTTTCCTTGCCTAGTAGATAACAGTGACATAATAAATTATGTAAAAGAGTCATTAACTGTAAAGAGACAGGCCTAATTTAGGCAGGTCATAGCAATCATCCTGCCTTAATTCTGCTCATTTCCCTGTCTTCTCCATGTTTGATAGTTTACAGTATGGCTGCCCTGAAACTCTTAAAACATGCAATACTGAGAATATAGATCAAAGGAGAACTGCATTGTACCTCCAAAATACATCTTGTCATATTCTTGGAAGCTTTGTTGAACTGTGAATTATAGTCTTTCTCTGACATACTATTTTTTTCTCCCTCAGGCTTTTTCTTATTGTTCTTGTGATTTCAGACATTATGGCTCTGGTAAGCTACTATTGGACATTTTGTACAAATAAGATCAAAACCCAGAGAGCTCTGCTAATTCAATCAAGGGATATCTGAATTAGCTTCAGACTTCAAAGTTCCTAGAACTGGGTCATTGAGTTGAATTTTAAACCCTGCATAAATTGCATATAGGTCCCCTTCTCCCCACTATAATCCTTTATAAATAACCTAATGAATGCATCAAAAAAAGTTGTAAGTCTGTATTATTACTTCAACTCTTTTATGGGGCCATTAAGTTAGCATACTAAGGTTTCATCTACTTCATACTGAATCTTGAATCTGAGTAAAAGAAAATACCAGATGCACCTGTGTGCCTAGTTTAATTTTTTAACCATTTCTTCCCTGCTTTCAAAACAAAAAAAATGTCTTGGTCTCCTTTAATTTTTCAAAGAAACCAAATTATCAAGCAAGATGTAATGAGAAATACAGCCCAGGGAGGGATAAATAAGCCTGTACATGTAGATAGTGGGAGATTTGGGTAGGTGGATCAAGATCCATCCAATAGATTAAACAATTAAAATAAAAATAGCATCTAAAAATTTAAAAAACTATGTTCACTCTAAAGTATATACAAAGCTTGTAGTGTATTCAGATATCACAACTTGCCTAGAAGGGATGTGTCTTCAGAACAGTAATTGAAGAGATTTATGCTTTCAAATCCATGTTCCCTTATTCTTCCCAGGGGAATTATTTAAAATATGGCCACGCCTGCTTTTGTTCTATCACATCATAACTAAATTGTTTTGATTGAATTGGTCCAGGAAATCTTATAAATAGGAGGAAATATTTACAAATCCCAGGCTACCTATTGCTGAGTCCAAAATAAAGGTGAAGACTTCTACAGCTTAACTCCTGGCAGCTACATTTGTATAGTGTTCTTGACAGCAATATGGAAGGATCTTGCCATTTCTTCTTCTGTGTGTGTGGTTTTTTTTCAAATTCTCAATCTAGCATACAGATTTGGGATTTTCTGATGTTATCCCATGCAAATATTAACCTGCTCTGACCCTGCTTCATTTTGGGAGCAACCACGATTGACTAGGTGCTCCTATCTAATGTGTGGAATTCAAAATTATCTTTTAAATACCATCTTCTAAATGTTAATTGTCAGTGTTTTAAAGAGCAAAGTGCTGTGGATAAACATGTGATAGCTAGATAGCAGCATAGCAAGCTGTCTTAGACTGAATCAGAACTTTTGTCCATCTGGCCAAACAATGGAATGACTTTATAGAATTCTTTTTATCTTTGTTGCTTTCTCCTCTCCTAGTACGGCTGCTTATGGTGAAGAGGAGGCTGCTTTGCCATATTCATGAGATGGCGAAAATTATGCAGTAATTTTTAGACAATAAACTGTAATCACTATCTCTAAGGCTTCTTCAGCATGCCTGCTTTTCAGTAATGTTATCATTTAGGTTGATCATTAATGCAACTATAGGGAATTAAAGCTGAAAGAGAAATGGTTAGCCAAAGACTATTCACAAGGCTGAAGCAGATGTTGAGAGAAGCAGGATTGTTCCAATAAGAACCATCCCATCTCTGCAAGCAGTAGCCAGCAGAGTAGAAAGGGGAAGCCAGACACAATTATGCTTTGGGGCATTTTTAGCAAACATTATAAGGAAGATGTAGGTTGGTTGCTCTTAGCAGCAGCTATTTATTTGTGGCAATATCCAGCAGGGTTCAGGGTATTCATAACTATATAGAAATTTAGAGTAATGTATCCAGCTTCCTTTTTGTGGGGAGTAGGGGGGAGGTTGTTCAAGTCAGTCTTGATTCCTAGCAACTGTCTGGACTAGTCACTGCAGTTTTCTTGGCAAAATTTCGGAAGTGGTTTGCCATTACCTGTTTCCTAGGGCTAAGAGAGAGTGACTGGCCCAAGGTCACCCAGCTGGCTTTGTGCCTAAGGCGGGACTAGAATTCACAATCTCCTGGTTTCTAGCCCGGTGCCTTAACCACTACACCAGACTGGCTCTCATTTACCTTCTTAGTGACTTTTTAGCAGACATATGTACTTGTTTTTATTTAAATATCATCTGATGGAGTCTGGCCGGCCTGCCTCCCTCTTTCTTTCTTTCCTTCTTTCGTTCTTTCTTTTCCTGACAATCTGCTTCAAACATGCATTTCAGTTTTGTCACTTTTATTGTGCAATGCTTATGTACTGAATATAGTTGTGTTCTTTTTGTTTTTTGTTTTTTTCTAGCACTTCTTCTTTCTGGTTAAAGATTATGGAAGCTGGCTAGACATTGGAACAAGGTACAGATCAATGGTTACTTCCTCCCATGCCTTCCGCTTCTGCTCTAATGTTGCTTGTAAAATATGTGTGGTTTACCAGTCCAACAGTTTGGCTAAGAATGTTTCTTAAAATGTGGTTCTGTAAAATGCTGCTTGTTGCTCTAGTTAAAGAAAATGGATTGATGACTTTTTACTTTCTTATCCCTATTTTTTTTTCTTTTTTTGGGGGGGGGTTGCCTTATTAAATTGGGTAATAGTATGTTGATTGATCAGGGATTCTCAAACTGTGGGCCAAGATCTCCTGTGCAAAGGAATGTAGATCTGACATTGAGAGTAGGGGAAGTAACGAGTGAGCTGAGCCGTTAAGGGGGACTTGCAGAAAGGATTATGTAGTCCTGAGAAAGAGGAAAGCATGATCAATTCAAAATAATCCTGATTTTGTTTGCTATAAGATGGGGCAAAGAGAAGCTTAGAGAAGCTTTCAAGATTGATTTCAGCTCTTCGAGGTAGGCCAGGTCAAAAAAAATAGGCATGGCTGGGATTCCAGGAATGTTCTTTATTGTAGTAGAGTAGCGTAAAGGAATCTTGAAAGGCTGTATATTTACATTCCTAATTTATTTCTGTGTTTACTGCTTCTGACCTCACTTCCTTTTCTTTCTGGATGTTTTTAACCTTATTCTGAAATTGTACATTTTGAGGTGAATCTACAACTGCTTAAAAGACATATATTCTGCGCTCTTCCTAAGGTGGAACTCCAGAATATGGGAAGACAGTTGTATATTTGAAAGCTTCCCCTTATAAATTAATTCCTGCCTATGAAAAACTAGTGCTTTGGGCTAATTTACTTTTCTTTCTGGCTATTTTCAGGTTTGTTTTGATTTTTTTAGCAGGGTACAGGTTATTTATGGAGAAGTGTTCAGATGTACAATCACATACTAGCATCAAAAGTATCATATTCCTGGGAGAGCTTTGCTGAATGATTTTTTTGAACTTGGAAAATGCCCTTCAATATACATATGTTTTCTAAATTCTTTGATACATCTATAGGTAGTCCCTGGGTAAAGAACGCCCGGTTTAAGAGTGACCCATAGTTAAAAACGGAGCCTATTGTAGCAAAATTTGAGTTAAATACACAGTGATTTGAGTTAAATACACAG